TTTTATATACCTTTTTTTTATAATATAATTTTGTTTATATATTACTATAGTTAGAACACTAAATACCAAATTATACTGTATTCGAAAGAAAATACAGGCAATACTTTTTCAACTATGGTGAAAAGATTTCGCTGACATCGTCAATTGCCTCTATATCTTCGGTAACATCTTTAATTGTAGACTTTTGCCTGCAAAGTAAATCATTTCAATTAAATCGTTCTTTAAAATTATAATATAAATAAATATTACATTCTATGCCAAAGAAGTTCCATAACTAGTACAAAAAGAGTAAGTATTATGCCATATCCCATTGCAACCAATGCAAAGTAGCATTCGGTAAAACCTATGCTAATGAAACTCATGTGACCATGACATAAAGGCTTGCTTGTGTATAATCGTTTCTCTTCTCTATATTTTAAACCGCTTTCTCGTAAAATTAAAGCACTAGAAGAGGATATATTTATCGTAATTATATAAACATTAGATTTTGTTAATACGAATATTTTAGAAACGTTTGTACCTATTTTTTAAAATTTCCAAATACGGAGACTGTGTCTGAATGATGAAAAGTGGATAAAGTACATTCAAAAAGTCGATATTAGTTAAACCACATTTTTCTTCTTCTTGAAAAGTATCTTGCATTATTTTATAAATGGTACCAACTTCACCATGAAAAGCAAAGAGCTCTTCTCTAATTTTTTTAACACCTTGTTCGATAGGCATCCAAGAAGATTTTTTACCTCGTGGCTCAATCTTTTCATCTATTACTGCTCTTCTTATTGGATCATTAAAAGACTGTTATATATAATAATAGAATAAAAAAAATATATGACTGGTTCGCATTGTGTTATATATTAAACCTTATTTTGAAAACTAAGCAAATATTTTAAATACTTACTTTAAAATAATATCTATTATATATAACATCCTGCGCGCCTAGTTTTAATGGGCTATTATAAAGATCAGTAATAGTTTGAATAGAATTAGTCGTCGATTGAAGCAATGCAACGATATTTGCTGTGTAAGAAGCATAAAGACTCAATGCAGCTATCAATAACATTAAAGTTACTATACGTGAAGGAACTTGATACGGTTCATAAGAATATCCTAAAACAATGAAATTATTGAAACTAATAAGATAATTAATTCATGAAGAATAAACACACCTTGTTGAAAAAATGCTCCTAGAATAACTAAAATATCATCGCCAACGGTTGGCTCACCAGGATTCATCTGTTTCCAATACATTGCAGACTTAGCTGAAGCTCCGCAATGATACTCCCATTTCATAGATATAAAGAGTAAAATAGTAACAAGAATAATCAAAACAGCGATAGCTATCCAAACTGAACGATGAAAAGGCAGGACAAATATATTGCTTACTGTTGAAAGTAATGGTTGTCGAAACACAAAACGTGATCTATATTTTGAAAAATAAAATAGAACAAATTAAAATAAATATTTAACATTATTATAGGGATAAGTATTTCTGTTAAATACTTCAAAATTAATGAATGTGATTAATTGTACTCTTTATACACGCGTCCATAAACATTGCCTATCATCAAATGTTAGTATTATAGGATCATTGCTATGTAGCATTGGTAGATTGGTATCATAAATCTCTCACAAGATTTGAAATTTGATATATGTGAAAACGTTTTACCCAGTATGCGTGTAAAGTTGTATATATTTAACTATTCCTATTCGTTCTTTAACAAAAAATGTAGCAGTTCCTCCAAAATCAATTTCCCGACGTTGCAACATGCCGGTCATGCCATTCCACGATCCATTTTCATTACGATAGCCCCATGAATTTGCTATATTAAAAGTAACTCTGAAATGAAAGATGCAAAATGATTACATTAAGATAATTATGAAATATATTTCATTTTTTATTTATAACAGTTGCATTACTTACGTTGCATTCATTCGATTTACCAGATGAAAAACCCATGGATAACCAGCCTTCGTAACTGGATCTATATGTTTATCGTGATAATCAGTTAAATGATTGATCGTGTTTGGATTTGTCATCTGTTAAAACAAAGCAGTTATTTATTTTCTTTCTTTTTCTTTTTTTTTTTTTTTATTCTGTCTTGTTGTGAAACAAGTATATTTAAAAAGGTGAATAAAGCTAAAGCAATAAATACAAGCAATGAATATCGGATAAATATATTATAATTAAAATACAATTAAATGATTGCAAGTAATCTAGTATGTGTTACCAGAATTTAGGGTAAGCTCGACACGAAGATATCTCTTGATATTTCAAATAAGTTCAATAAGACCCACTCGTGAGATATCTTTCGATATGAACATTGTACAAGATTCGACACATGTATAGATTTAAAATTAAATTTTCTCTTTATTTTTCTTTCACTTAAGACAGAATGAAATTTTGTATGAATGCAAATATTTCACAGGTAGATTTTTCTTGATAATTATTTCATTCGTATATCACATCATCACATTGGTCTTAAAATATGAGATAAACTTAAGTTTCTGTTTATCGTGCATAAAATTGAAAAACAAAATGAAAATATTACCACAAGACAGGATTTGAGTGGAGTAAGTTGAAGATTTTTTCGTCTACGAGATGCAACGTGATAATTGTCCATAAGAATTCCACGTGTCAAGGACCAGTTACCACGATCCTCGAAAATGACATTTCGATATGGACTAGGACGATATATTGAAAGTAATTGGACAAAATCATTTTGAATCATCCGTGCTAGAACAACGTCACTGTCAGGATAAGCAGTAAGATTTTGAAATATTGTTCTTATCAATTGAAGATCATTCGAATTTGAAGAGATTGTTCTGGAATCTTGTAAAAGCAACCATTTTGCAGGAGCAACGAACATTCTCTTGGAATCAGCCTAAATGAAAAATCCAAGTTTTATCCGATTCATAATTTTAATCTGAAAGTAATAAATAATATCTCCTCTTATATGCGTTTTACCTCTTTTAAGATGTCAATCGCATAATCGCAATCGAGATCGATGACGTACAAATTTCTATGTTCTAAATTATCGTAAATTTGAGGATCTAATTGATGATTGTAGATATTTTGGATATCATGTGACAAATGTTTCTTCGACATTTCCTTCGATAAGCCGATCATATCATCTACTTTTTAAATTTAATGATAAAGTATTAATTCAATAAGATAACAAATTCGATAATATATTACGAGATAACAGATATATACATATAATAAATACATATAAATACACATATAAGTATGTATATATTGCATGTTCTATTAATAAATAATACAATACCTTTGGGAAAACACAAACTAGCAGATATTCTCGATGGTGGAAATAAATGAAAGGTCGAATCAACGAGGAGTTTCACTAGAATATCGTTTTTTTTCCAAATAGAAAATTTGAAAGGCTCAATAGCATGAGAATGAGATATAAGAATTAGTAGAACGAATAAGAACATTGTCTTGTCCTTCGAATGCGTACAATTTCCTTGAAAAATCGTAAAATATCGGTGTATAAACTATAGTAGAGTCTCATAAACGGCAAGGTCGCGAAACGTTTACGTATAATTAACATGAAATAGAATAAAAATGTTTAAGTCTGCAAAGTCGCGAAAAAACGATCTATCTTTCTAGGAGGTCGAGAAAGTTAGTTAAATGTTATAGCGAAAAGAATGAGACGACTCATCATGGCAAGGTAAATCTCTTACGTATCATTTCTTTCTTTCTTATTTTTTTTTTTATATGTTCGTCTTGCTTTACAAAATGGCTGCTTCGTTACACTGTCATTATGTCCCAGACTTAGCAAACGATAATCTCATCAAACAGACAATTTCGTTCTAACGACTCAGATATATATATATCATGTAGATAGATTTACTGGTTTTAACAGAAGGATTCCAGCTGCGTTAGTTCGCATGGAGAAAGAGCTAATAATTTTTTGATTAGTTCCATAAGTACTCTTTTCTTCGAACTAATACTTACGTATCATCAAGTACTAAACACACGTGTCATTTTATTATTTCGGATAAAATATTTTCTTCGCAGAAACTAGTTGGAAGACGTAAGGAAATCACTGATTTGTAAGAGACTCGATTCGCGATAAATTACTGTATATTTACTTTCACTGCGCACCAAAGTATTCTTTGTCCCTTGTGGTATATTTTTTCTTTTTATTTATTTCTTTGTCTCTCTACGTAATAACACATTTCTCATAAGACGAATTATTGTGTAATATAAAGGAACAGGAATAGAATGATAGTTTTATGAATAATTTTCTGCTATTTCAAACGCGTACAAATAAACAGTATGTACACGCGCGTGTAAGTATACGCAGAGAAAGGCAAAAGACGACGCAAGATTATCGTATTTGCGAATACCATTTTTAATTAAAAACGACGTTGATAATCATCAAATAATTCAATATTAACGGTTATACATTCCATACGGGTGTAGAAATAAAGCACGTGAAAGTATGTATAGAAATGAATTAGCATGATAAAAAGCACGAAATATACATTTCCTATCATCTCTATTTTGATCTTTAAAAATATGCTACCTCGCAATGATTATACAATCTTTTTTCTTTTTTCCTGTTCGCGTTTCACTTTTATTACTTCGATGCATATACATATATGTGCCCATAATTATGAAAGTGGCTAAGTGAAAATTTACAAAAAATGAGTTTATCAGTTATTTCACACCATATTATCTTCAACTAAATGAATTCAATGTAATTTTCACGATATTGTCAAAAATGAACTGTTAGAGATAGTGTTTCTTAAGTATTTCACAATATTATATAGAATTAATTTAGTGTTCAAATGTAATCCTATCTCGAAACAAAAAAGATCGGTATATGACTTGGACCACTTTCATAATTATGGGCTCACATATATACATGCATATATATATTATTCATCGAGTTAACAATTATTGCAGCTTGTAAAAGGATTATTCGTACTCTTCGACACACGTTGATATCACACACGTAATCGGAGGATTTTCTACTTTCGAAGAGGGAACAGAGTTAAAAGGAAGAAGAAATCGGTCGCTTGTGAAATGCGTATCGTTATCGACGTATAATCTTCGTTTAATCTTCTCGTTAATTGTCATACCTCGATTATTCCGTCTCAAAAGACAATCTTAACAACAATAATGACAACGTGACGAATATTCGAGGATAATGATGTCTCAAATATTTACTTCCTTATTTGTATTCAATATTTAACGAATTTAAAAAATAACTTATTGTGTTTTCCAGTTTTGTTCTATCATTTTTGTAAAGCTTACTTCTTACGTCAAGATTGCACTTCTATGTTATATCATTTGTAAAATTAGAAAAGTAAAGCTTACAAGAGTTATTGTCGAACGCTCTCGGTCGAATCTCGTGATTACTCGGTGATTGGCACGTGAGCTGAGCCTACTGAAGATTCTTATCAGTGTTTATTCACGAGAGTGAATTATCGAGTGAATAACATATTTTACAAAGGAACTTATTGTATCTTATTGTTTTTAAGTTTTGTATATTAATCTTTTTATTTTACATTCGATTCAAATCTATAGAATCACTCGATTGAGCCAATCATATTTCTGAATTACTCGATCGATAAATTCAGAAATTAGTCGAGTGCAGTTCGCAATTCATATATTCAAAAATATGAATTTGTTATATGAGTATGAAGATATTTTTTTTACCTATTCGACGTAGTTTCGTTGTTCTATTTTTTTACCGGTTTTTTCAATAGTCTATTAAACTTGTAGTGAAAGATATTCGAAACTCTAACGTTATGCAATTCAAATAGTAACGCGGAAAAATAACAACAAAATTCGTGTTTTATTTCTCGAAAATCGTAAAATGAATAAATCAATGTTTCCTTGGAAAATTATTTGCATATATATATATATATGTATAATAAATACATTTGATGAAATATTTAAGAATCTAATAACGTTATGCAATCCGAACAATGGCGAATAGTAAATGAGAATAAACAATTTTAAGTTTATTTACAAGATTTATTGTTTCTTTTTTGTTTTTTTTTTTTTTTTTCTAGTTCTTTCAATCCACAGGAAAAAAAAATAATTTTTTGCAAAAATCAGTGCGGACTGAATTTAAGACTGGATCATCCTGGATTAACGAAATAATATTTCAATATTTATTTTTAGACAAACAACAAAAGGAAATCCCTGTTTACGTTAACCAAAAACAGTTAACGTTATTAAGAATATTTCAGGCATGGGGGGATGTAAAAATATGATGATGATGTATTTTCATTGCAGCAATTACATTTACATAAAGATCGCGTAATTCGGTTAGCAAGGTTAATGATTATCATACAAGTCCATGCTTTCACACGTACATATTCATTGTATATATTAATTTATGTGTGTATGTGTGTGCATTAAAATACAAGAATTGTAGGTACAAGAAAAGTATTGAAATACGAAAGGAAGAGAAAGCAGAAATAATATGAAAAGCTAATGGAAAGTGAAGAAGATCGTTTTAAAAATATAAAGAAATAACATATCGAATCTCGCGTATTCCTTGTATAAAAATATAAGAAAGAAAGAAAAATTCCATTGCAGATAGATAAACGCTGATAAAATAAGGATTAAATTATTACGTTTACGATCGTTTAAACGAAAGTGATAACAATTCCACTGTTTCTTTTGTTTTGCGATATTTTCAATTATACAACAAATTGGGCGCGCGTACATTCATAAAAAAATAAGACTTTCATTTCATTTTTATTTATATAAGTATTTTATTTAACGTCAAAACGATAATACCACGGATGCACTAGAATAAAGACCTCGGGTTCTACTTTATTTCATTTATTTATTTCGTTTTTCTCGTCAATAATAATAATAATTAAAAGAAAATATATCGAACATACAGGTGCATACATAAATAAGTTGTTTTTGTTGCTTTTATATTTGTTCTCGTCGAGATTAATTAAAAAAAAATATATCAAACGTACTGTGACACATGGGAAAAATAATCAAATTTACTTTGGTTTGTTCTTTTTATTTTTATTTCTCATTGGTAAAAATGATCATAAAAATTCCTTCGACGTATATAAAAAAGAGAAATAGAGATAAGAAATGAGACCAATAATGAGACCAATAATGAGACCAATAATGAGACCAATAATGAGACCAATAATGTTGAATATATATAATTCGTGGTAGCAACTAAGGATTACTATGCATGTATGTGTATATTCTTGAGCATAGAATCGTACCGGTTTGTCGACCTACTATCGAACGAAGGAACGAACGAGAGCTATGCCACCGTAGACTTTCGAAGAGTTTACTGACGAGGAGAGGAATACACGTTAAAAATAAAAAGAATAAAGAACGTTGGTGGAGTCATTATTTCATGTAGTTGTTAGTTCATTAAATGATACTTCGTGCTTCGAATAAATAAGAAGAAGGAGAAGGAGAAAAAGCTTGGAAAGTCGAATGATTCTATCAAGTTGAAATACCTACAACGTAAATACGTTTGATTTTAATTATATGTACATACGTATATGCATAAATTTATGTGTAGGTATACAAATGTGTGTTTATATATTTATATGTGTGCGTATCACGTAGCTTCTTTCCTCTTCGCACGTATAGCTTTACACCGACGAGAATAAGTCGTACTAATGCGATGATAATGCTACTTAAGTGTTCGTTAAATTTCAAAACTTTGTTCCTTTCCCCCTTCTAATCTCTTTTGTCTACAACTTACTCTCCGTAATATAAAATCGCTCGAGTCCAAGGATCGTAGTCAATTGCGAGAACAATGCTGTACGCGATTTCATAAAAACACAACGTTGCTATTGCATATTATATATGTACATATATCAGAAAAATAAAATCACTTAATATGACGATAAAAGACGTTTTCAAATGAAAAATTCGCATCGTCTTTCTTTTCCTCTCTCTCTCTTTCTCTCTCTCTCTTATTTTCTAAAACACAATGTTTTTCTCTAAGAATTCACGTCTCGATAAATATGATAAAAGCTCATCGTACGGCTTAACAGCGCGTGTATTGCTTCAATACTTTCTTTTCATTTATGTTGTTTATTTAAAAATATTAGTGAGATTACATTTCACCAATTAATAACGTTAATTAGCAAATTAGCAAATTCTGTCCGAAGGTTAATATCAATTACCATTTATAATCCGTTGGACCTTTCCTTTCGATAAAACTATTGAGAAGAAGAAAAATCCAAGTAAAGAACTCGCGCGGCGCGACGAATGCTACATTCAATCGAAAAACAAATAACGAGAGGAAATGAAATGAAGATTTAGATAAAACGTCTTATTATTTATCTCGAACCGTCTCTTATTAAAGATCCCAGCATAAAAGAAATCATCTCAACGAACAAACGACAGAATAAATAAAATGAAGGAATTTTGCTAATGATTCTTCGTTCTTCGAGTAGGAAATTTAATCGAATCGTTTGCGATTATTTAAGGCGGTTAATATTGACTGCACAATTTGAAAAAAAGATTTGAAAAAGAAGTGGAAGATTTTTAAATGGCATAAGAATAGAAATAAAACATTTGGATATAATCGTTCTTCTCGGAAAGGAATTCCTCGTTGCATTCTCCTTTTATCTATTCTTTTAATCTATAAATCTATTCGCGTAGTTCTTTTCAAGAGGGAAGATTGGAGAATTATTCTTTGTTTATATCAGTATATAATTATGAAAAAAAGATTAC